TGTGTGTGGAAATTCAGTTCATATGGAAACAAGAGCCAAGATTCAGAGGACAATCTTGGGTGTTGTTTCTTGGGAATGTGGTCCACCTCCTTGGAATCCAGCCTCTCAGAAGCATGCTTCCTACCATGGGCCCTTCACACTTGAGTAGGAATTAGTTGGCAGTAGCGAGCAATTAGGACCCATTCCTGTTCCCAGGTATCCAAGAGAGCAGCAGATGCAAAGGTCCTGCACCTCAGTCACAAGCTTTATTGTCCTGAAGAAGGATTTGCCACATTTCCACAATTCCACTGGGGGATGGGGGGGTGGGGAGGGATGGGGACATGGCTGAGCCACACCTGGGGGGGCCACACCGGGCAGGATGAGTGGCCTTCAAAGGCCAGTGCTTGCAGGGGGAAATGGCTTCTTGCACACCTACCAGGTACAAGTCCACCCCTGGGTGAGGCTCAGCCCCTTCTGGTTTGTTAGTTCCTAATACATGAGCTGCCCCATTGTGCTGGAAAGAACAGTATTGACTCTGTAGTTAGGCCGCTAAAGCATCAATTTTCTAGACTCTAGACTGCTGTTGTTAAAATGGCACGCGAGCTCTACCAAAAGCCAACAGGAAGCAAAGGAGGTTGATGGGCTAACTCACTTCCTCCTGAGGGAAAGAACGTGAGTGTCACCTGTCCCGTGCCTGGCATGCTCACAGAGGCCACCTGGGCCATTCCTTCCTATGACTTACACACCTGTCCTATGCATGGGGACATGGGCCACGCACTGTGGTTCCACCCTGGGCTGGGGAGAGGGGGCTTGGAGCTCTGGGAAAGTAGGAGCAGGGCCCGGACCCTGTGGGATGCTGGGGTCTCTGGAGTAATATAGCAGGACTCCCCAGGAGCAAAGGGAGCCAGCTTGAGTCTTCTCACCCAGCAAACACTATGAGTGGACTTTGTTTATGAGCCCTGTGGCTGTTCTAAGTTCCAAGCCAGGCCTGGCTCAAGCTCAAGGTGGGAAGCAGAAAGGCTTGTGAGCTTGCCTAATACTGTCGCTTGTCAGGTGGGAATGCACACTAGCCTGGTGTCTGGGAAGGACCTCTGAATCCTTGGGCCTGGGAAGAGATGACCAAAAGACCTTGTACCAAAGTTTGAACGAGGCTCAGAGTGTGGGGACAAGAAGACCCCGGACTTCTAGACTTCAGCCCTGCGCCACCACTCAGGGGCCTTACAGGGGACATGGGAAAAACCAGTAGGAAATGGAGGCAGGGGCATACCCGAGGCACCCAGACAGGCCTCAGAGCAGCTTGCTGTAGCCATGAGAGGCTCAACTGGATTGCATCAGCCTCTGCAAATTCCAGAAGCTTCTTGGAGCCCAGGAGAGGGTCTCTCAGAGGGTCTCTCAGAGGCCTGGCTGTACCGCATTCTGTGGAAGGTCATGTTTATGGGAACCTCCTGGTCCGGCAGGGGGTTCAGGTGGAATTAACATAGTCTCATCTCCAGAGGGAGTTTTGGTTCCTGCCTGGAGGTGGTACTGCTGGGAGCCTGGTGGGCTGTATGTAGTGTGAACCGGGATGGTCCACGGTGTCCCTCTGGGTCAGTGTTTATCCTAGAAAGAACAAAGGTTTAATTAGCAAGTCTTGAGGGACAAGTGGGCAGAGGAGGAGGGGAGACAAAGGGAGGAGAGCATGCTGGGTAGAGGAAACATCATGTGTCAATCCTGTGGCAGGGAGAACAGGGAGAGCCTGGGTTATCCAAGGAGTCCCCCAAGAGTGGGTGGAAGAGGGATCTGAGGAAACTATGGTGACTGTGTTGCTAGGCCACTGGGAAAACAAACCCTTAGGAGTGTCTAGACAGCAGTTCCCAGGGTGGCAGCCACTTCGCCATCCCAACCCTGTACACTGCAGCCCTACTGTCTGTCCTCAGAACCTAGCTAGAGACTGCCTTCCCTGCTCCTGCCCCCAAGCCTGACACTCGGCTGAGTGGGGCACAGCTAGAAGGACCAGGGGCAAGCTTTGTTCCCACACCAGTCTCACCTGTCTGGACCACACAACTAGCCAAGGGGATGATAGCTGTTCCCAGACCAGGTGCTAAGTAAGCAATGAATGACTGTGATACTGTGCAGATGCTGAAGGATAACTTGGGGCAGGGAAAGTGGGGGGCTGCAAGACTGTCTCCCAAAACCAAGGCTGGGGGCATGGATCAGAAGTACAGCACCTGTCTAGAATCCTCCAGTGATGGGGTAAGGGTATCACTCAATGGTAGAGCACCTACCTAGAATCCTCCAGTGAGAGGATGGTGATATAACTTGGGGTGGAGCACCTGCCTAGAATGCCCCAGTGAGGGGCTGGGGTGTGGCTCAGTGGTAAAGCACCTGCCTAGAATGCCCCAGTGAGGGGCTGGGGTGTGGCTCAGTGGTAGAGCACCTGCCTAGAATCCCCCAGTGAGAGGATGGTAATATAACTCAGTGGTAGATCTCCTGCCTAGAATCCTCCAGTGAGGGGCTGGCGTGTGGTTCAGCAGTAGAGCACCTGCCTAGAATCGCCCAGTGAGGGGCTGCAGGAAGCATTCTGGATGGGATGGGACTTTACTAAAACCCTCCCTCAGCAAACAACCCTGCTCTTAAGGGATGGATGCCCCGGTTTGCACTGCACACATACACATACACACACACACACACACGCGCACAAGTACATGCATACACCCAGCATTCTTGTTCCTTTTATAAGTTAGTGACTTGGGGCTAGAGAGATAGCTCGGTAGTTAAGAGCACACAGGCTGCTCTTACAAAAGACCTGGGTTCAATCCCAAGCATCCATATGTGGCTAACAACTCCAGTTCCAGGAGATCTGACGCCCTCTTCTGACCTCAGCAGGCACTGCATGACAAGGGTGACCCTATTACATGCAGGCAATACACTCATACACATAAAAATAAATGAAATATTTTGTTAGTGACTTGTAAGAGTTTTTTCAGAGGCCTGGGTGGCCTGGAGAGGCTGTCAGTCTTACCTCCTGTTTGTGGGCCTTGTCTGGCTGGTGGATGCCGTTGGCAGAACCGGAATTGCTGATGGTCTGTGAGGGGTTGAGGGGTAGGCAGGGAAGGAGCCCTTGAGAATGTGGCCAGGATGCAGTTCTACATCCATTCACTAGGGGACAGGGTCTTTACAAAGGGAGCAGCTAGGCTCCAACCCCAGCCTTTTAGACTGGGGCTCTGAGGATGGGGCTGCCTCCCCTTTCAGATTGGAGTTTCTAGGATGGGACTGCCTTCCTCATTCAGACTAGGGTTCCTAGAATGGAACTACCTCTTTCTTCAGACTGGTGTCCCGTACCAGCTACCCTCCTTCCAGTGGGGGTTCCTGAGGATACAGCACCCCCAACCTCCTCCACTCCACTCACCTGGGCCCTGTCCGAGCAGCCCCTCAGGGCCTCCACCAGCCTCTCCACCTGCTGGGCCTGGTCCAATGCATCCCGAAGTGCGTCTTCAGTGCTCACTAGCTGGTGCTGCAGCCGCAGTAACTCAGGTGCAGAGGCGGGGTCGATGAGGGAGTAGCGTCTCTGCTCTGACGTGGACTTCTCCTTGTCCTGGAGGAGTGGAGTGTGACTTGCATGTGTGGGTGGTGTCTGGAAACTCCTCTGGTCCCATCTCCCTCATGGGTGGAACCTGGGTGTTATGGGCCTCCCTCCCCGAGGCTTCCTGTTAGAACTTCAAGCCCCAGAATCCAAGCCCCACCCCACCCCCCAATCTTACCCTGGTCCTTCTGTCCCAATTAACTCAGGAGTCATCTGATGTCCAGACCCCAAGTGACCCTCCTGAGTCCCCTAACAAGTGTCTCCTCCCTATTCACCATGAGAGTCAGTATGTACATCCCCACACTGTCCATCAAAGCATCCCAAAATGCACCTGCCAGGGCATGTCTCTGGTCTGGGATTTGTGCAAAAGGGGTCACCATGGCCCCTCCGCCTATCATGTGCTTAAGATCCTTGGGGAATGGATTTCCAACACTCCCTGCGACATGGCACTCAGCTGCCCTTCCCTCTCCTTCCACATACCAGGCCTGTCAGCTTTTCTCGCAAGCCTCGTATGTCATCCTTTAGTTTCTGTTCCTTTATCCGCCATTCGGCTTTGTGCACCTCACGGCTTAGGTCCCTCTCCGGTCCAGGGGAGTGGCGGTTGGCCTCTAGCAGCAACACCCTCAGCTCATTCAGACTCCTGGGGACAGTCACAGAACCAGAGCATCAGCCTTGGACTTCACTGAGCAAAGAACCTGTGCCTGGAGCCAGCCACCACTAGGGGGTGCAAGTCATATGGGTGTACCAGGGACAAACAGGAAGCAGGCATCCAGCACACCCCAGGGACCAGCATTTGATCACAAAGTGATCTAGAGGACTAGGCTGCTCCTAGAGTTTATTTTTAATTCCTTTTTTTTTTTTTTTTTTTTTTTTTTTTTGAGACAGGGTTTCATGGACCCAGGCTGTGCAGTAGAGAATGGCCTTGAACTCCTGATCCTCCTGCCTCCATCTGTCCCCTGCTGGGAGTACAGGTGTGGGCCACCATGTTTGCTGCATGTGGTGCTGGGCATGAAACAGAGGGCTTTGTGCATGCTAGGCAGACACTCTACCAACTGAGTCACAACCCCAGGCCCATTTTCCTTTGTTTAATTAACACACACACACACACACACACACACACACACACTGATCTTTTTGAGACAGAGCCCTGTAGCCCCAGCTGGCCTGGAACTCACTATGTAGATCAGGCAGGCTTTGGTCTCACGAAGATCCACCTGCCTCTGCCTTCCAAGTGCTGAGGTTAAAGGTGTGTGCCACCACCCCCAGCTTTGCTTTAAACCATTTTAATGGGGGCTAGAGAAATAGCTCAGTGGTTAAGAGCCTAGATGCTCTTGGCAAGAGACTTGGGTATGGTGCCTAGCACCCACATGGTGACTAACAACCATCTGTAACTCCAATTCTAGTGGATCTGAAACCCTCTTCTGGCCTCCACAGGCACTGCATAGCACAGGCGCACTTACATGCAGGTAAAACACTCACACACATAAAATTTTACAAATTAATAAACCAAAAGTTTTTATTTTTTTAAATTTTTTTTTGTCTTTTTGAGACAGGGTTTCCCTGTAGCCCCAGCTGCCCTGGAACTCACTATGTAGACCAGGCTGGCCTTGAACTCACAGAGATCTGCCTGCCTCTGCCTCCTGAGTACTGGGACTACAGGCGTGAGCCACCATACCCAGCTTAAACCAAAAGCTTTTTAAATTTTTATTTATTATTTTTATTTTATGTGTATGCGTGTATTGCCTACATGTAGGTAAGTGCACCCATGTTGTGCAATGCCCGCAGAGGACAGAAGAGGCTGTCAGGTCCCCTGGGACTGGAGTTATGAACAGCTGTTAGCTGCCATGTGGGTGCTGGGATTTGAACCTGGGTCTTCTGCAAGAACAGTCAGTGTTCTTAAACGCTGAGCCATCTCTCCAGGCCCCAAAACAGTTTTTAAAAAATCTTTTGAATGCTGAGATTACAGGTAAGCACCAATGTGCATAGCCAGTCTGGATGTAAAAATAAACTAGCATTTCAAAATCAGAAGAGGGCTGGCATGATGGCTCAGGAGGTAAAGGGGCTTGCTGCCAAGCCCAATGATGTGAGCTTGATCCCTAGAATTAACATTGTGGAGGAAGGAAACAGAGTCTAGCAAGTCTTGTGATCCCATGACATATACATGCCCTCCCCAAATTAAATAAATAAATAAATATATTGAAAAAAATTTTTTAAAATGCAAAACAAGGGGCTGGGGAGATGGCTCAGTAGTTAAGAGAACTAACATAGTGACTAACAACCATCCATAACTTCAATTCCAAGGGATCCAACACCCTCTTCTGGTTTCTACAGGCTTTGCGTGACGAACAGGTGCACTCAAATATGTGCAGGCAAAACACTCATACACATAAAATAAAAATAAATAAATTTTTTAAAATTACCAAAACAAAATAAAAACCAGTGTGTTATTTATGTTAGATGTTATTGGCTTGTTATTATTTGTAAATGGATTAAGAAATATCTTTATGCCAGGCATGGTGGCACACACAACTTTAATCCCAGCACTTGGGAGGCAGAGGCAGGAAGATCTCTGAGAGTTCAAGGCCAGCCTGGTCTACATAATGAGTGAGTTCCAGGACAGCTGGGGCTACAGGAAGACCCTGTCTCAAAAGACCAAGGAAAAAAAAAGAAAAAGGAAAATAGAAAAAGAAATACCTTTGAATTTCTCAACTCTAATTTCTTATCCTTTGGTGGAGGGGGCTGAGAACAGGGTCTTACTATGCAGCCCTGGCTGGCCTGGAACTCACTGTGTGGACCCAACTTCCAATTTCTAATATGGTAAATCTAAACTAAGCAAAACCCCTGAACTGGGCTCACACTTGTAACCCCAGCACTCAGGAGGCAGAGGCAGGTAGAGCTCAGTGAGTTTGAGGCCAGCCTGGTCTATGTAGTGAGTTCCAGGTCAGTTGGGGCTACAGGGAGACCCTGTCTCAACAGACAGACAGACAGATTCTGGGGTCTCATTGGCACCCAGCCTGCGACTCACCGCTCTTTCCGTAGCAGTTCCTGACTGATGTGGACTAGCTGGCCAGAGGCATCATGGGTCTTCCGGGACACAGCCTCCAGTTCCGCCTCCAAGCGCCGCTTCTCCTTCAAGAGCGAGTCCATCTTCTTCTCTCCTGACTTGCACTTGTTCTCCAGGGCTGAGTGAGGATGCAGGGAAGGGAGAGGATTCAAACACAAAAGGGGGAGCAGGAGATGTGGCTCAATGAGGAGAGTATGCTGGCCTAGCATACCAGAGGCTCTGGGTTTGAGTCCTACCACTGCTTAAACGGGGATAGTGCCCCACAGGTCCCTGATTCCAGCATACCAGAGGTAGAAGCAGGGGCCTAGGTACAAGTCTTAGGCAGACAGACCAGCCTAGGCTGGACCTGCCAAGCTCCAGGGCTAGCCTCCACCAACCCCCAAATCTGTCCCTAGGGAGGGAGACTTACCACTTACTTGGGCCCTGAGCGTCTCCATCTGGGACGTCAAGGCTGTCACCTCTTTGTCCCTCTTGTTCAGCTTGTCCTGTAGGCCTACAAGAAAATGGGAAGACCGGGAGCCATGAGTGCTCAAGGGCTAACAGTATGGGCATGGAGTGGCACTCCTGTGGGAATCCTAAAAGGGGTCTACTTGGCCTGCAGTGTCAAAGATCTTGCCTCAACTTCTGAGCCACCCACCCTGAGGAAGAGGACCCAACAGTGTGTTTTGGGGAACACGAATCTTAATCTTTGGTTTCCACAAGCAAAAGATGGCAGACCAGTGAAATAAAGATGGCAGCCACAGGCTTGTCAAGAGAATTCTATGTTGGATTGTTCTCCAAAGTCATCAGGAATTTGCTTAGAAACACAATGATGGTTCTCAAGTCTATCTATCTATCTGTCTGTCTGTCTATCTATCTATCTATCTATCATCTACCTATCATCCATCTATGATGCATCAATTATCTATGTACCTATCTACCCATCTTTAATCTATTCATCTATCTACCAATATCCATCTATCTTCTATCTATCCATCTCAGTCACTTATCTATTTATCATCTATCAATGAAGTATCAATCATCTATAAATCTACAATCTATCATCTATCCATCTTCTATCACCTACCCAACTATCAATCATCTGCCTATCATCTATATGAACATTGATCATTAGTCACCTATCCTCTATCCATCTTCTATCAATCATCTACCTACCTTTCATCTATGAAGATCATCAGTGATCAGCAATCATTTGTCTATCATCTATCCATCTATCTTCTAATCTACCTACCTATCATCCATGAATCATTAGTAATCTATCATCTATCACCCTTCTTTCTATCATCTATCATCTATCAACCCTCTCTCTCTCTCTCAGGCAAGGTTTCATATAACCCAGGCTGGCCTCAAACTCACTATGTAACCAAAGAACAGCTTGAACTCCCTGATCCTCCCACCTCCACCTCCCAGTGCCTGCACCACCACACCTGGTTTATGTGATGCTAGGGATGGAACCCGGGATTTCATGCATGCTAGGCAAGCACTCTACTGAGCCACATTCCCAGCCCCAATTTATACCTATTTTTCTTGAGACAGAGTTTTGGTATGTAGGTGAGTTGAACTTGTGGTGATCCTGCCTCACCCTCCGTAATGTTGGGATTACCAGTGTGCACCACCATGGCTGGATAGTTTACATATCTAACTTAGTAAGGTAAAAAACCAAACAAGCAACAGGTGCCCAACAGTAGACCATCTTGCTCAGAACCGGTTTTGGTCATCTGTAATTCTGCTTGCTTCATCTCTGCCTGGTCCTCAGTGATACTTTCTGTTGCCTCTGTCAGAAGCTGGAACATCTGACTGAGATATACTGATTTTAGCACATTGCCCCTAATCCGCCTCATGTAAAAATCCTGAAGACAGGGAAAGAGGCCCTTTTATTTTTATAGCGTAGGTGTGCATACCATGGCGCCGATGTGGAGATCAAGGACAACTTTCAGGTGTTGGGTCTCTCCTTTAAATAATACCTGTCTCCTGGTTTGGCAGCACCCTCTCCTGGTTCTCCGCACACAGCAAGAGATTCTGACAGAGTAGCAGGTGATGTAAGATAAATTGTGTCCCAGCTCCTGGGCGGCACCTGGAAGTCTTCCCAAAAGCCAGGGTCTCATCTGGCCTGCAGCTACTCACCCTCCACTGTCTCCTTCATCCGAATCTTCTCCTCAGAAAGGTCATTGGGCTCGATCACCTGAAAGGACAGGCCTGTGAGGGGACATGCCCGCCACCCTGCCAAGGCCAGCTCTACTGCAGGTTGGGGACCTGGACCTGTCAAAAGGGACTTTGGGGGAATGCAGGGACCCAATGGGCCAGCAGAGGGCACAGGTATCCTCAGCCTGCACCTTCCTTAAAGACGCCTCCATTGGCTCCAAGCTCCTAAGATTCAAGTGCAGCCCATCGACCCCTGTTTTGGGGGATAAGGAACAGGTGATGGGACTCAGGGCCTCAAGCATTTTAGGCAGGTGCTCTACTACCGAGCCCCACCCACCCTCTTCTCCTCACAGCCATGCCCTATCCCCTCACTGGGGGATTCTAGGCACATACTCTACCACTGAGCCATGCTCCCAGCCCCTCACTAGGGGATTCTAGGCAAAGGCTCTACTCCTGAACTATATTATATGCCTGTCCACATTTTACTTTTTATTCTGAGAAAGGGTCTCACTAAATTACACAGGCCTTGAACTCCCTCTGTAGCCAAGGTAGGTCTCAAACGTGTGATTCTTTTGCCTTAGCCTCTCCAGTAGCTGGAATTGCAGGACTGTGCTACCAGGCCTGGTTTGGATGCCTCCTTGGTTGGAAATGAATAAACATTTAATAAACAGGTCTCTTTTTTTGAGTCCAAATCTCTAGAATATTTTCCCATCAGTTCTATGAGACAAGACTCTCGGTCTTGAGGTCCCATTCATAAAACACTGAATGAAGGAGCAACACTGCCTGGCCTGCCCAGGGTGAGCACCTAGAGTGACTTCTAATAAATGCCAACTACTTTCCCCTCAAAGTACTATTTAATAATAAGCTCAGAAGCCAAGGGAAGGAAGTTGATTGAAAAAGAAAAATGGAGGGGAGGGAGTGTGCCGATGACTCAGTAAAGTGCTTGCCTTGAGAGCACCAGGACTTGAATTTGGCCACATAAAAAGGCTAGGAATGGGGCTGGGTAGGTGCTCAGTAGTTGAGAACATTGGCTGTTCTTGCAGAGGACCCAGGTTCGATTCCCAGCACGCACATGGTGGCTAACAACCATCTCTAACTCTGGTTCCAGGGGAATCTGATACCCTCTTCTGGCCTCCAAGGACATTGCACAACACGGGCACTACATACATGGAGGCAATACACTCATATACATAAAACAGAAATATTTTTTTAAAAAGCTGGCACTTATAGTGCACAGTGCAATCCCAGCCCTAGGGAAATGGAGACAAGTGGATCCCTGTGCTTGCTGGCCAGCCAGTCTAGACTGTTTGGGAGAGCTCCAGGGCAGTGAGAGACCTTGTCTCAAAAAAATAAAACACTGGGTGTGGTGGGGCACGCTTTTAATCCCAGCACTTGGAAGGCAGGAGCAGGTGGATCTCTGTGAGTCTGAGGATAGCCTGGTGTGCATAGGTCCAGAAGGACTATATAGTGAGACCCTGTCCCCCCATCCAAAAAAAAATCAAAACCAAAACTAAACAAAGACAACAACAAAAAAGGCGGATGGGGTTGATCTCTAGCCTCCACATATACATGTGCACCCACATACACATGAGCATGCATGCATACATACATAAATTGGCAAGATGGGTATGGTGATGCATACCTATAATCGAGCACTTGAGAGGTAAGGGCAAGAGGATGAGGAATTAAACATCATCCTTGGCTACATAGTGAGTTTGAGGCCAGCTTGGGCTACATGAGACCCTCTCCCAAATGAACAACAACAACAAAAAGAAAAATGAAACCCTTTTTCCTGGAAGGAGAGGAAGACTTCAAGACCCAGTGTAGGCAATGTCCTTTTATACAAGCCAGGCAACCTGAATGTGGAACTGCAGAAACCTGACTTCCTAAATGCTAGCTTGTGAGGCCTAGAAGACAGAACATGCTGGAGTGGGGCACCATGCATAGACTCAATAGCCCAGACCCTTGTACAGGTTGTTTTTTGTTTTTTGGGGGTACTTCCCAAAAGCCCTGTGCTCAGTGGGGCTTGACACCCTTGCTACTGGTACCTGGGAAGACTACTCTATCTTGGGGTCTTTGTTTTCCCAGTTGAGATAGAGCCAAGAGAGAACCCTCAGAGTTAAAGTTGAACGGTTTAATAGCGGCTGCAGAAATGTCTCAACAGTTAAGAGCGTGTGCTTCTTTTGCAGAGGATCTGAGTTCAGTTCCCAACACCCACATCTGGCCTGTAACTCCAGCTCTAGGACATCCAGCATCCTCTTCTAGCCTCTGTGGGCACTGCCCTCATATGCATGTATACACACATGAAAATAATGAGCTGGAGCACTGGCTGCTCTTGCAGAGGACCTGGGTTGGGTTCCCAGCATCTATATGGCAGCTATCAACCATCTATAACTCCAGTTCCAGGGGATCTGAGGCCCTCTTCTGGCTTCCATGGGTATTGCATGCACATAGTACACATACATACACACAGGCAAAGCAAACATGAGATATCTGAGGCATTTCTAGACTTGGAGCAAAATGGATCATGGTAGCTGTGTCCTTTCTAGAAGAGAAAAGACCCTTTGGTCTCCCTGGGTAGATGTTTGCTGACACAGAGCCCTAGGATGGGCAGAACTTCCTTCCACATGCATGCCCACCTACCTTGTGGGTGATACCTGAGTCTGGGTACTAGAAGGGAAATGGACTCATGGGTAGCCTGTGTAACAAAATGTGTTTGCTTTTTGTGGTGCTAAAAATAGAACCCAGCACTTTGCCTATGCTAGGCCAGCAATCTATCACTGAACTATGCCCTAGCCCCTCACTGGGGGATTCTAGGCAGGTGCTCTACTACTAAGCCACACCCCCAATTTCTCATTGGGGGATTCTAGGCAGGAGCTTTTGCCACTGTGCTACTTCCTCAGCACAATTTTAAAATTTAACTTTAAGCTGGGCATAATTCCAACACTTGGGAGGCAGAGGCAGAGGCAGAGGCAGGCAGATCTCTGTGAGTTCAAGTCCAGCCTGGTCTACATAGTGAGTTCCAGGCCAGATGGGGCTACAGGGAGATCCTTTCTCAAAAAGACCAAAAAATAAATAAATAACTTTGAAACATGATATCACTCAGTGGAGTGGCTGGCCTTCAACTGGCCAAGTAGCACAAGCTGGCCCTGAACTTGCAACCCTTCTCAGCCTTCTCTGTACAGGACATGTCTGAGCTTATCAGGACTAGAGGGCTAGCAACTTCCCTGTGCTGCTGGGAGTGCATCTCTCTAAGCCTATCTGTGAGGGGCTGAGCAGGGTCTGCTTAGACTGCCTTGGTCCCTGCTGTCACCTTGACTTCTCCTCCTTCTAATGGAAGGAGACAGGGGCTCCCCCTCTGAATCCCCTTGGGCTAACTCCAAGCACAAAGAAAATACCAGCCAGACTAGCACAAAGAGCCCCTACACCCTCCCACTCAGCCCCAGCTGGGCCCTACAGGAGCTGCACACAGCCTACATGACTGTGCTGGGCAGAGCACAAGGACTCTACAGCTTGGAGTCTGTTCTCAGCCACCAGAAGCTTGTCCCGCAGGCGATCTGCCTCCTGCTTGCTCTGGGCTTCCGCCCTCTGCAGAGCCTCATAGTCCAGCATCTTCTTTTCAGCCAGTGAGATCTGCTCTTTAAGAAACTCAATGGCCTGGGCCTGGCCACGGTACTCCACGTCCAGACCCTCCAACTCTTGCACTCGCAGCTGGGCATCACGACATTGGTCCTGGGCTTCTTGAAGTTCCAGCTGGTGCTGACCAGCCTGTGCCTCCAGCTGGGCTTGCCAGTGCTGCTGCAACCCAGACAGCTCCTCCTGGGCTTCCTGAAGCTTCTGCCTCAGGCCCTCCTTCTCCTTGCCGTGCATGGCAGTTTCCAGGTCATGCCTGGCACGCAGGTTGCCTAGCTCCAGCTGGTGTTCCATCTTGAGACCCTCTACCAGAGCCTTCAGTTCCCCAATTTCTTTCTGCTGGGCACCTGGACCCGAGTTTAGCGTGGCCTTCAGATCCTCCAGAGACTTCTGGTGATCGGAGGCCAGCGAGTCCAGCTTGGATTTCCAGTTGTCCATAAGTCCCATGTTCTCGCTGGTGGCCTGCTGGACCTTGGCCTTGAGGTCCGCCACTTCCTGTGCGTACTTCTCGTTGGCCGCCCGGAGCTTGTCCACCTCGGCCTGGTAGGCCTTCAGTGCCTTCTCGTATTTGTCGCGGAGCAGGGTGCTGTCTCTACGCTGTTCCTTGCTGGCTGACAGCAGCCGTTCTCGCAGCCGCAGGGTCTCAGCAGCCTCGGGGTGGTCCGGGGGTGGTGGGCCTGAGTGCAGCAAACACTGCTGCAACTCTTCAATCTCCCCCCGCCGCAGGGTCAGCTCCTCTTCCAGCTGCAGCACCCGAGACTTCTCGGCCACTGTGGTTAGCTGGCAGGAGAGAGGGGGAGATGGGTCAGTGGCCAGGCTTGATAGGGGATGGTCAGAGGAAGGGAGGGTGCCTACCCCTAGTTGGGTGCTGCTGGCTGTTCTCAGGGACCCTGTTATACCCCAACAATGGGGGGGCACATGTCCCCAGGGCTTAGGTGGGTAGGAACAGTTCAGTGGGAGAGAGAGGTTAGGGGTTCCTAGAAGCTAATTTTACAAATA